GGCTTTTTTCTTTTTGCTTATGTGATGCTGAGGAATCGAACCCAGGGCCTCAGGCATGCAAGGCAAGCGCTCTACCATTGAGCCACCTTACTATTGTGCTTTCTTGTTTTGTTTCTGGGTTCGGGCAGTGCTGGGGATTGAACCAGCCTTGGCTTTTTCCTAATAGCATTTGACACTCATTGTTTCCAGTCATCTCAGCGCTAGGCTCAGCCTTGGGGAGCAGACACCCACCCCTGCTCTTGCAAGACCTTTGCACATTGACTGCCCTGGGGCCCAGGGCACCCTGCCTGGGCTCCTCAGGCTGAGCTGGGCGCTGGTGGCTCACGCCTGTCATCCTAGCTACTCAGGAGGCTGAGATCTGAGGATCACAGTTCAAAGCCAGACCCGGCAGAATGGTCTGACTCTTATCTCTTTAAGCTGTGGCTTAAAGTGGTAGTGCTTTAGCCTTGAGCAAAAGGGCCCAGGGACAGCGCCCAGGCCCTGAGTTCAAGCCCCAGATCTCACCCCCCTAAAAAAACATTCCAGGCTGTAGCTACTGTCCAGTTCAAAGTGAGCTCAGCTGAAGGGCCAAATTCAATTGAGTTGGGTAAGGTTCACAGGGTCACTTCTCTGCCCTGGGGCATAAGGGAACATGGTGACACCCTTTCTTTGAGCCACAGTGCTTTCTACCTTGTTGGTACTCCAGGCTGTGGCCTCCTTTCTTTTCTTTTCTTTTTTTTTTTTTTTTGTCAGTCATGGGGCTTCAATTCTGGGCCTGGGCACCGTTCCTCAGTTCTTCTGCTCAAGGCGAGCACTCTACCACTTGAGCTACAACACCACTTCCAGTTGTCTGAGTGGTTTATTGGAGATGAGTCTCACAGATTTTCCTGCCCCAACTGTCTTTGAACCACAATCCTCAGATCTCAGCCTCTTGAGTAGCTAGGATTACAGGTGTGAGCCACCGGCACCCAGCTTGTGGCCTCTTTTGAAGGCCTTAAATAGAGTGGTCTGAGCTCCCATTCTACGTGATAAAGACTTCCCACGCTTGTGATCCTGGCTCCATGGGAGGCACAGGAAACCCTGTCTCAAGAGTAAGCCAGGGGCTGGGAAGGTGGCTCAGTGGTAGAGCGCTTGCCTTGCAGGCATGAGGCCCTGGGCTCGATTCCTCAGCACCACATAAGCAGAAAAGGCCAGAAGTGGCGCTGTGGCTCAAATGGTAGAGTGCTAGCCTTGAGCTGAAGACCTGAGGGACAGCATCCAGGCCCAGAGTTCAGGACCCACGACTGGCAAAAAAAAAAAAGAGCAAGCCAAGCAGAAACTTCACTTATATTTCCAAAATTGGGAGCAGAAAATGTTTCCCTCCTTGTTTCTCCCCCACCTCCCCCCCAACCTTGTATACTTCTCCTGATCTTGTATCCTGTTACACTAAGTCCTTGCTTAAAGGAAAACCTTAAAAGAAGCCAAGCATGTAGGCATACACCTGTCATCTGAACTAGGCAAACAGGATCGAGGTCCAAGGCCTGTCAGGCAAAATAGTTTGCGATCTTATTTGAAAACCAAACTGAAATGGGCTGGGAGCTTGGCCCATATAGGTCCTGAGTTCAAACCCCAGTGCTATCAGGGAAGGAAAAAAAGATACCGTGGGTGCAGTGACCTAGCCCTGGGGACCCAGAGAGCTTTGTGTGAAGGCCCCATTTCCCCCCCATATCCTCCGGCTCCTGTACGCAGGACAGTTGGGGTTACAAGCAGCTTCCCAGCTTTGGTGTACCCCTGAGAGAAAGGCCCAGGTATGGGTGGCCCACAGTCCAGCATTTCTCTGCATCCCTCCTCTTCCTGAGTGCCCCAGTTTCTGCACAGAGCAAGCCAGGGTGGAGATGCTGCTCCCCACCACAGCTCCCCCCTGTACCCTGGGCCCCCAGAGAAGATGGGGGTACAGAACAAAGCATTTCTTGGCCACCAGGCAAGATCCATTTGCCCCAGGAAAAATGCCTGTGTCCATGGCCATCAGGATCTTGGATGGGTTGAACTGTGACCCCCAAATTCCTGTGCTGAAGCCCCTGGAATTTTAGACTGCGGCTTTTCCTTGGCTGCTTCCCTGGAGGCTTGTGCTCTACCACTTGAGACACAGCCTCACTTCCGGCTTTTGGGTGGTTCACTGGAGATAAGGGTCTTACAGACTTTCCTGCCCAGGCTGGCTTCAAACCTTGATCCTCAGATCTCAGCCTCCAGAGTGGCTGGGATTATACAGGCTTGAGCCATAAGTACCCGCTTGGAGACAAGCTCTTAAAACGGGGACTGCAGGTAAACCGAGGTCACTGCGGTGGACTTCAACCCAATCAGATTAGTGGCCTTCTAAGAAGAATCAAGGCACATGTGTGCACGTGAGTACTCACACACACACACACGCACACAGAGCAAGAAGGGCCCAGCCCTAGCACTTGGCCTTGAACCTACAAGCCACGGCAGTGGTGCAGCAGTGACCCTGTACCCCATGGTACCTGGTGGCTGGGAGCGCGTGGTGGTCTCCATGGGGGCGGCGGCGGCAGTGGACAGTATCTGTCCTGCGGCCGGGGTGGCTCTGGAGGGGATGGTCGTGTTAGCAGGGCGGGTGGTGGCTTTGCTGGTGGCCTTGGGACTGGTGGCTGTGCTGGTGGTGGCCTCTGGGGTGGTCATCCTGTGGGGGGGCCTGGTGGTGGCCGGTGTCCTCCTCGTGCTGGAGGGGCGAGGCGTGGGGACGGGAGCCACGGACATGGTGTGTAGGATCCAGCCCTTCAGCCGGGTGATCCGCGCGTACACGCCTGGTTTGTTGGCCTGGGCACACCCAATGCCCCAGCTCACAATGCCAGCCAAGTAAAAGATGCCAGGGGTCTCCTCACAGGCCAGGGGGCCCCCAGAGTCACCCTAAAAGACAAGGATCATGTGGGTACTCTGCAGGGAATCCCCAGAGAAACCAGGGAGGGGGGACAGGGAGCGGAGACTCAACTTCCGCCCCCAGACTGGGCCAGGTGAAGTCTCCCAGGTCACGTGTCTGAGCCTCCACCCTCCTTGCTTTGATTGTTGCAAAGTTAAAAAAAACAAAACGATGCATCCGGGCACCGCTGGCTCAGGCCTGTCATCCCAGCTACTCAAGAGGCTGAGATCTGAGGATCACAGTTCAAAGCCAGCCTAAGCAGGAAAGTCTGTGAAACTTTTTTTTTGGGGGGGGTCCAGTTGTGGGGCCTGAACTCTGGGCCTGGGCGCTGTCCCTCAGCTCTTCAGCTCAAGGCTAGCGCTCTACCACTTGAGCCACAGTGCCACTTCTGGCTTTTTTCTTTTTGGTTATGTGGTGCTGAGGAATTGAACCCAGGGCCTCATGCATGCAAGGCAAGTGCTCTACCACTGAGCCACCTTCCCAGCCCATCATGAGACTCTTATCTCCAACAAACCACCAGAAAACCAGATGTGGAGCTATGGCTCAAAGTGGTAGAGCACTCGCCTTGAGCAGAAAGAGGCTCAGGGACAACACCCAGGCCCTGAGTTCAAGCCCCAGGACCAGCACAAATAGAAAACAAACATCATTTACTATTACCCTATTATTAGATATAAAGACAAACAATGAATATTCAGGAAAAAATCAACAACGAGTGCTTTGCAAAGCCTGGGTTCCCACAGCAATCCTCAGAGCTCGGCTGCTATGATGTCTTTTTTTTTTTAACTTTTTTTTTTTTTGGGGGGGGGTCTAGTCATGGGGCCTGAACTCTGGGCCTGGGCGCTGTCTCTCAGCTCTTCAGCTCAAGGCTAGCGCTCTACCACTTGAGCCACAGCACCACTTCTGGCT